ATATAATTTAAATAATATCTTTTTATAACTGTAATTAAAAAAGCCTTTTTTTACTACAAAATGTTACTAGCTCTTTGTAGACTGCAGTTTTCTTGTCTGATTTGAAAGACCCCGATTATTTTTTGTCAAAGCAGGGACAGGACGATATGTTAAAATATACAGGGTTTCTCAAAACTTGGTCTTCAATGCGCGAAAAAAAACAACACCACGTTGAAATTTGCTTTTGTGGCTGGCTTTTTGATGGAATTAACCCGCATTTGTGTTACATGGTTAGGAAAACCACGAAAACCTCCCATGATCTGACGGCAGGGAGACTCTATCCTATGATTCGTCTACCATTGAGGATGGATCTTTTACGTCAACACTGTGGTCGGTGCAAGCCGGTTTCGGGATTCGTATCGACCAGCAATTGCTGGAATTCGAACCCGGTTAGCCTCATTGAAAGGCGAACGCTCTACCCAACAAGCAACCACAGCTTTCCATGGAACCATCGTCGTAGACGAATCTTTTCATATGATCTCAGATGAAAAAGTCAAGACATAAAATCGTAAGTCCAGACTCAGAGGAATAAACCGATCCCTCTAAAGAGTTTCGACTTGCGTTCGGACCATGAATTGCATGGGGATTTGTGCTTGTCTAGTTGTTTCCTGTCATTTCCTAGTGCCTTATGAGTTTTGGGACATCCTGTATACGTATATCCTGTACACGTCTCTTTCTAAGATACATATTTTAATAATTTTAGACGTAATCACGAATATTGATAAAGAGAAAATTATTTTTATTGCTTAATAAATTAAATTATACTTATTTTATTACCTAATAATTATTTAATAAGCTTAAGTTAACCAGATAATAATTTTTTTGTTACTGTGAAATGAAAAAAAAAAAAGTCCTCAGAGTTTATTTTCTTTAAAAAATCTGTATATAGTGCCGTGTCGTCTGACCATAAATGGTCATATCTTTATCACACATCTCTCACTATATTACTTGAACATATACTTGCGGTTCAGAATCAAACAATTCATTACAGATCGTATTTTAAGTTTTGTTTTTAAACTTTAGGTGTTTAAATGAAATTTGTAACCAAAAATAATAATGATTGAATGGTAATTTTTAAGTATTTAATCAGTTGATTTTAACTGTTTTAATTTTAACCAAAATGTGAATTGTCAAATTTTTTGTTGCTCCTTATTTCCTCTTGTTAAACACCGTCACAATTTCACGAGCCCATGGGCTCTTCGGACAGTGGATCATCAAAAGATTGTCTACTTTTCTAAAATTTAGTTATCAGTGAGTTTCGCTGTCTTCACGTAGTTAAAATAACTAATTTATTTCTGATAAATACATTTTTTAAATCACCTGTAGTGCTGCTTTAAACCTCGAGCAAAAATTGTGAAACACTTTGAAGCACTCTTCTAATTTAAAGGAAGCTGTCTCCTCACAAAGAAAGTCAGCCAGTCGTTGACGAATACTTTCAAGATCATTGATTTCATTATGGAGTATTTCTACTTTATTTTCTGCAAACTAGAAAAAAAAAGAAGAAAAAAACATTTTTTTCGTAACCAAAATATCTAATTCAGAGCATTAATATTTGTATTTCAGAAAAACGTTAACCATACCCGAAGAAAATCTTGCATTTGAGATTTAATTTGTTCTTCGGCAACTGTAACTTGTGTAGAAACTTTTGAAACTCTTTGGCTAAGGGAGATTACGTCGGTTTTCAAAGTTTCCAATGAAATTCTAGATAAATGAAATAAATAAGTCAAAAATTCATTTCGTTTTAATTTTTCAAATTGTTTTATACATTTAATTCTTTCACTCATATAGCTCTTTTTTTTTGTAATTTAAATTCTTTAAATATTGAGGGATTCAATATATTTTTTCTCGGGGCAAACTTTACCTCATAGAACTGGCGAAAACACGCATTATCACGACAAAAAAAAGTTCTAATTTATTCTTTATCTAATGTTGTTGAAAAAAGACAACAGATTAATATAAATTGTAATGAAAACAAAAATCGGAAATTTTTGTAAATTAAAAACTTGAAGAAGAAGTTTGGGAAACTATATTTGAAGCAGGACGATTTTGTTACCCTTTTCATCATTACTTCTAACATTACATTGTTCCAACATTTAAATAGTGATTAAGTTTAATGTCGATCAATCATTTTACTGATTAGAAAATCATCGAAAGTGTTATCATAATCAATCACTCGTTAATCTTTTATGTTTGATTATAATTTTTTAAGAATTTAATTTTATTACCTTTTTCATTACGTAGACGAGAACCTGTGGCACACGACCATTTTTAAAAAAAATGTCGTTTTTTTAAATATAGGTGAGACTTTTTAATTCTAAACGAGTAGTAAGCTTTTGTTCTTGTTTGAAAATATTTTCCTTCTAGTCAATCAAAATTTCGTTAGGAATCTTTTTAATCTTTTTTTTAAAATCATTTTCTTTAGTGAGGAATTTTTTAACGCTGTAGAAGAAAATTAATTGCAAAATTTAATATTTTCAGGTTATAAATATTTAAACGTATTATTTTTAATACTTAAATTAGTTAAAAACGGAAACGAATTATATGAATGGTGTAAGCATGAAAGTTTTAAACTGTATTTTATATAGCATAATAAGAAGAAAAACGAATAAAATTAATAAGTTAATAAGTTTATACATATATATATAAAATTAATGACATTATTACTTAGATGCTTCTTCCAAATTTTGTATGTCTTCTAGAAACTCGAGAAGATCTGGTCTTTTCTTAAATACTTGCTAAAATGAAGATATTTTTTCTTATTTTTTTAGATTTTGTTTACATAATTATTTTACACTTAATATTAAAAAGAAATAAATAGACTAAAAATGTTTACCTCAGCTACGTAGTGGATTAGTGTCATGCTAGGTTTGTTGGCTCTTATGTCTGTAAGTTTCAACAAGGATAACATTTTAAAACCAGCTGCATTTCCCGCATAGCCACCCTGGAAGGAAAAAAACACATTCAGTTTCGAAGAAAAGAACAATCTAATATTTAAATAATTTTCTTTCTGAAAATTCTTACCGCATTCAAAAAATTGCCAGCTACAAGAACCATATATAAGATTTCGTGCAACTTTTTGCATTCTTCAAGTTCTAAATAAATAGAAAAACATATATAGTTAACTGTAGTATTTCGATCTGAGTATTTTAATTACTAAGTTGAAATACCAACTGCTGATTTAAGTCAGCTTGAGGTTTTATTTAATTTTTAGAAACTTTGTTAAAAGCTTTGAAATTTTTATAAAAAAAAAGTATTAAGTTTTTTTCATAGTTAAACAGAGAATATGAAAAGAATGGCGTGAGAAATCCACATGGGTTCAAAATTCTAAAAATAAACGCGTGAAATATTTTCAAAAGGTACAGTCGATGATACCATTCAACCTCCGCTATGGAGTTGGGATGGGATGACTTCGAAATCTTAAATTAAATTTAACATTGAAAACCGAAGAAGTTTTTTTCCACATTACTACCTTGTGCGGCACACCGTATTGTAGCAATGCTATTTTCCAACTTCTGATTTAATATAGAACTCCTAATGCATATTCACTCCCGAATTTAATATAGATACAAAGATTAAATAAGATCTAATACAAAAAATAAAATTTAACATTGAAAACTA